TTTACTTAAGTTGATCTCAGTCTCTCCTCGTCCACAACAACAGATGTGTTTGGCTACGTTCAGCTGGTGCTCAGGTAACTGTGTTCAGATTGTTATGCAAACCGACAAATGGCAACAAGTTCACGTGAGCACACTGTTCTTTGTTATCTTCGCCGTGCAGATGTTGTCCAAACCACTGGAGCACCTCTCAGGTCTGTGGTCCGCTCACTGGCTGCAGGTGTTCCTCTCTGCATATTTGCCTCCCGCTGCATAGTTCTGTCTCCTCAGTAGCGGTTTTGATGCTCATAGTGCCACCGATTGAAATCAATATTAAATGCCACGATACTGCCGGACGCCATGCCTGTGATTAAAGTCCTGAAGAAAAACAAAACCATGAAAATGTGACATCAAATCCCATTTTCGTCAAATATTATATACTTCATGAAACAGGAAAAATAGAAAACCACAGTTTACCCATGATTGTTTCCATGCACGTGAACGTTTTGTTAAAATGTCCATGAAACGAGCACAGTCGCTCATCAGGGGCTGTGACAGTAAATCACCAGGTTTCCGTGACAACTGAAGTAGACCATTGAGTCCCAGTGTCTTTCTGCAACCCCTCTGCCCTTGTGTCCACGGCCGGCTGGCATGTAGGAAAAGCAGCTGATTTCACAGGGTCGTCTTATACTGCTACACCCCGAGGGCTTAAATGCTCCAGCACAATGAACAGAGCTGCAGCAGAATGCCCCTCTGTAAATGACCTTACAGAGCACAACTCACTTGTATTATACCTAATGTCAACCTAATGAGGAAAAGGGCCAATAAATGAATTGAGGGGATCTTAAAATATTACATTTAAGGGGCTTGTTAAGTGATTTTGGAACATATGTTAAAAAATAGCCTGTGATTTCATATTTCAATACTGATGTTATTATTTGTGATGGTTTGTTTACATTAAATCCTCTATCTGCCCTCCCTCTGCTCACCTGAACAGGCTGGGCTTTGAATCACGGCTCAGACTCGAGTCCAGTCCAGTTAATTTGAAAACTGTGCCTTTGTTTTGTGGTCTGAGGAGGATTTGGCCGCTGGCAGTGATGTGCAGCTTCAATGTTCAGAGTTTCTAACCTCTCTTGGCTGCCAGGGTCACATGATGACATCACGCTTATAGCCCCAGAGTGAACTCTTTCCCCTCCAGGCTGCCATCCAGGCAACTATCGTGACTCCTGACATTATTTAGAACATTGAGATGGAAAAAAATTCTGCCGACCCTCCAATAGCCTTGTGTACATTTCTCCAATATAGTTTAATTTTCAGAAGATACTCCTGTAATTTCTATCTCTATGGCAACTGTAGGAACCATTGAAAGGAAAAGGCAGGTGGATATTCATTCACTGACCGAAATACACACTGACAACCGTAAACAACAGCGTGAGGCTTTTTACCTCAACCTTCACACAGTGCAATACTGAAGACGAGTGGGAACATTTAGACATGCACACAAACATACATGTTCCCATGTGAGCCCACGCAGTCAACACGTCTGTAAACATAGAAGCTCACACAATGATTCTGTTGAGACAAACTCTCTGACTCAATCTTATAAAACACATTTTTACTACTTAATTGATCTTTAGTCTTTGTTTGCTTTTCTTTATCTAAACCTCGTTATGGATAATATTTAATACCTGATTCCACCTCATTTACAGACCTCATTGAATCAGTAGATGTAATCGTATATGAGGAGCAGGAGACATTTCCACATTAAATTGGCTCTCGGTAAGAAATCCTCAGTGGAGGACAATACCGTTAATGACCACACGCCTGCCTGCTCTGACCTTTGATCATGTGATAGGTCCATGGCTCGGACACCGGCGTCACACCCCGGGTAGATGTAGAGCTGTTTGAAATCACAAGCCTGCCACACCTCCACCACGCCATTGTCCCCTCCGGTCACCAGGTTGTGGCCGTCGCTGCTCAGGAGAATAGCCTACAGGAGAATGTCACAGAGAAGACATGCAGCAGTGAGGTGCAATTACAGCTTTGTACAAATTTAAGATAAATGATTGTATGATCTGTTATTGATGAAATTTACCTTGATCCAGATGATGGAAAGTAACTGATCCACAAACATACTTGGTGCATCAGTCCGATCGCTTTGTATACTAAAACCCTTTTGACAACATTGTACAACTTTTTTTTTTTACTTTTCTATTCAGGAACAGTCTTTGAGCGGCACATGTTGATATTAAAGCGGAAAACATCCAACCAACCACTATATCTGCACTGTTAAGTATTGGAAGAATGAACATGGTGCTTTCATCTCTGTTTCTCATCCTGTCAGTTAGCAGGATTACATAAAAAACCGAATCGACAGGAAAGTTGGACATGACCAAAGGAAGGACCCATTACATTTTGGAGCAGATCTGGATAAAGGGGCTAGATCCAGGGCAAAAGCCTTGGTGGTGGTGTGGACTCTAAGGGACCTCCTAGTTTGTACTTAACATCTGTAGCTAGTGAGTATTCCAATCTCTGGAATAGCTAAGACGCAGATGAACAAAGATACATCCACATCTTACATGGAGTTTACTGGTGTCAAAATGTGAGCTTACCCTGGTGGAATCATTGACCTCCATCTGTGCCAGCAGTTTTCCATTAATGCTGAAGTTGCAGAAGCGGCCCCTCTCGTAGTAGATGATGCAGTGGCCCTCGCTGGACACAGAGATGAGCCGCGGGCGTTGATAGTGATCCGGCACCTCCAGAGCCCGTAGCAGATCCCCTGTGATGGTATGGACCAGACATGGACCCTCTGCCAAACCAAAACACATTCAAACATAGAGTGAGGATGTTCAGTAATACTGTAATTAAAAGAATAAAATGTTCTTTTCTATTTTTTGTGGGGCACTACATTACTTTCTCTCGGCCCCTTTCTGTTACTGTTCTCGAACACACACTGACCTTTGGCTCCACTGATGACCAGGCCCAGCTCTGCACAGACTGACACACACACAACTTCCTGGTCATGACCGGTCAGGACTGCTCGTGGAGCTGGGTAGTCGGCTAAAGGACGACAGATACAAAACATCCTTAAATAAAATTATTGGTTTTTTAATTAAATATATTTTCTGCATGTGAAAGCAAAACTTCTGAGTAGCATCCTGACCTGCGTTTTATTCTACCAGTCAATATGCTACATTTCATTTGTCTAAACCACCAAACCTTCATTAGCCAATAAAATCATATGGACACAAGCACAGTGATTGTGACAAACATCTGCCAGCAGGGAGGTCCCTTTGAATTGTCATGTAAATGCAGGGATGCCCAGTCATGGCAGCCTGAGCCACTTGATTTCATCGCCTGCGTCACATGATTGATGACGGCCCGGGGAGAGGTTAGTGAGGGGCGGTACACGACACCTGGAGCCGACCTCGAGTACTGCCAGAATGAGTGAGTATTAAAATGGTAGGTTTTCTGTCACGACTAGTAAAGCTTTGTCTTTTTTCCTAAATACTGCAAGGAGTTACTTCTTTCTTCATCATTCAATCAATCAATCAACAGCAGCATTTTAGTTGAAGAGTTGAACCCAATAAATTGATTTGTTCTGTTTTTAACCACAGACATACGTATGGATATGAATATAGTAATGAAATAAGGAAAATAATGCTATTATATGTGTTATGAACATATTCATTAACACTGATTATTGTCTGGGTCGACCTTTCAGTCCAATAGTAACAGCGAACTCAAATTCAAACACTTTATGTGCCCGTTGGTGTCCCCAAGTTTCTCCAAGTTCACCCAATTTAGTGAAAGTTTCTCTCTCCTCCTCTTAGACTGTAATGTCCTAATGGATGATGTGGACATGTGTCTGACTTGTCTCCTCCTCTATTATTCCCTCTCACCCCCATCATCTCCTCCACCAGCTCTGCACATCGCCTCTACAGCTGCAGCAGGTCCAGTCAGAGAGCCGGGCTGTGATCGATGCAGCGCGGTCCCTTAGAGACCAGGACCTGAGCAGTGCTGTCAGTCCCACAGCCCGCTGCTGAGGGGGGCTGAATAGGACAAGTGTCAGAAAAAGCCTCCTGGGAGATAAAGGGACCTCGTGCAGCTCACCTACCCGACAAAGGATTCAATCACCCTGCACCGCGTACCCCCCACCCACTCTGAGCCCTGGGGACGAGCAGGATTCAGCCACCACAATTACCCGCTGCAAATATCCCTTGGCACCGGTGTGATGGGCCGAGTCTGAGAGGCAGGGCCATGATTGAGCTGGAAGTTATTTTAATTATTATACATTTAAGACACATTGCAGCCTTTTGGGGCACGGGTGAAATCAATTTCTTGGGCACAGCGTGTCTGCTGGATGAGGGAGCAACAATCCAGGAGGCGGCTGATGCATATTTACACAACCTTCATCCGGCCTTATGGAAAATATAATAGGCATGAAGTCACTAGAATGAGACTCCTGGAGAAGATTGTTCAATTAATAAGTAAGTAAGTAGGAGAATAAAGAGGACGTTGGTGCTGTCTATGCTTTGTGACAATAATGTGAGGGCTTCAAGTGTGAAGATATAAAAATGGTGCGAGCAGTTTATCCCTGAGGGTCCTTGCAAATAGCTGCCGTCTATATTTGAGCATTAATGATATGAGATATTTGAATAAAGCTGTGTAAAGCAGGCACAATGTTTTCTTTCTGAGTCATTCTCCGCTGGCCTGCTCCTGTTCCTTCAAAAATACATGTACATTCCCACATCCCTGGTGCTGTGCAGTACATTTGATTACATTCTGCCATCATGATATATTGATAAGAGATCTGATCCAGTGCAAACACATCCTGTCTTTTGTTTTTAAAGATGAGGTGATGTACCTTCCCTCCCTTTTGTCCACTGAAGATGCATCGTAAGCCCCAGCAGCATGAATATCAGGGGAATTAGGTTTTCTGCTGCAGAAAACACAAGTGCGATTGCCCCTTGCTAATTGGAGGCAACCATGCTGAAATTCTTAATTAACTGTCGGAGCCTCAGTGAAGTTAATTAGAGAACACTCGCAACTAATCTGCAGCTCCTAAAATCTGTGACAATAGGAAACACAAGATCTTCTCGCACACACTCGCTTTCGATCGTCACCCAGAAATAAATTAAAAACACACTGTCATCTTCCTCATCTTTTAGTTTTTCCGCTTCACACCACATATGGGGCTCCTTGCTTCACATTTTCCTAATCCTGACGGATTGTTTTGAACACAGACAATCAGTGAGAATGAGCAACTAAGTGAGAGGAGCAGCACAGATCTCACACTGGGGTTGAGCATTTTGAAAGGCAAGACATCCTGAGTCCTCCTCTTCAATTTTGGATCTGCACCTAATTACACACCTATTACACACTCATAAATATCAGTCCCCTAAAAATGAATGAATGAATCAATCCATAAATTATTCGCTGAGAAATTTGATGAAAACTTTAAAGAAAGAGAAAAAAAAATCCTGGGTCCAGCCCCTGATCCAGATCCAAATTTATTAGGATCCTTCTTGGGTGAGTGCGAAATTCTGCTGACAAGCAATCAAACAATCAGAAATCTGATAAATAACCTCCCTGGTAGAAGTAATAAGAGCCATAGAACAGATTAGCTATGTTTTTTCAGTCCTCATCATTTGATTGCTCTGGTAGAATTTCATTCTCTTGTATTAAGCAAACATTTTACTTCCAATAGTATACAACTTAAAAAAAATAAAATAGAAGAATTTGAAGAAACTCTAAAAGGTGTAAAAAGAATCCTGTTACTTTGTTTACAGGGTAGTACACGTGCCACTGTACACACTTTGTGTGTGTGTGTGTGTGTGTATGTTAACCTACTGTTACTGGGGTTATCACCGATAATATGGTGCCGCCCGCTCCAGTACCACAGCAGCAGGGTCGCGTCCCTGGACCCAGAGACGATGTAGCAGTCTCCTCCGATGTAAGACTCTGACCTGGCCAGACACGTAACCACATCCCAGTGGCCAAAAACTATCTGGGTCAACTTTCCTAAAGAAGATACGGGTAAGTGCACCATTTTAGTTTATGTAAAAAAATATAGGAATCAGTTTAAATGCAAAAAAATGACTGTGGGTAATGATTTTAGATCCTGTTGACTGTAGCAAAGAGAATATTATATCATTTGATGAATACATGTCTTCAATACAGTGGTTCCCATTCTTATTGGCTTGTGGCTTCTTAAAATTAAACAATGCCTACTAGAAAGTGGTCTCAGTGTGGAGTGAGTTGAACCCACTAGAGGGATTTCTCGGACTCAATTTGTTTAATTTTAAGTCTTTTTAAAAGAGGCTTGAAAGTCAAGTGAAGTTTTATGAGAGACAAACAAAGACTAAGAAAAAATGCTTTTCCTAGTATTCTCAGGGTCAGTCCTCACGTTTGGAATCAATGAAATTAGCAAATATAAAGATTTTTTCCACTCAGCAGTGGGTTCCACTGTACTATAGTATAGTCATCCTTTTTTCCACAAGGCATGTCAGCAGTGACAATACAGTATTATTCCCACCATAGCACTCAGTCCTCCACACATCAGTGCACACCTCTATAGGAAATAGAGTTTACACTGTAACCTACCTGTCTCGGAGGAGTACACACGAAAGCTCTTGTCCCAGAAGCCACACACCAGGATGTAACGGTTGTCAGCTGTCACCACAAAACAGTGTGTGGTGATTTGGATGCTCTGGTCCACCAGGTCTGTGATCTGACGCTTGTTGCTTCCAGTGCTGTTGGCTGTGGGAGAAAAGGGAAACAGCGAACACGTGTCAATACCGGAGCAAAGTTATTTATTAAGCTACAACAAAAAAGTCTGTTCTATTTTATTTTGTTAGTTTGATGTTTTAGTTTCAATCGAAATGGATGAAGCTTACTCACCAACCAGAGAATCCATCTCAATGGGTAAGTGATGGGCCTGCTCCAGAGAGTAGCCTGGTGCTCCTCGGAGACCTGGATTCAAATAGAGATACATCAGGAAATGTATCATTGGTGCAGTTTCTAACCTCAGCACATGCACGCACACACACACTAAACAAAAAAACACAAAAACCAAGACTTTACTTTAAGAGGACCAGCCAAATCACATCCTCACATCATAAAAATGTCCTCACAATGATGATATTGAATCAAAATTGGCCCTCATGACTATACAAATACACACACACACACACACA